CATCCGCCCCCCCCCCCCCCTCCCCCCGTGTCTATAGGCGGCGGGCAGGATTCACTAAACAAGCTGTCCAGGAAAAGTTGGTCTTCTGGCAGCTATGTGTTATCACAGCATGTCCCTGTTCTAGGGTTTCCCCCCTGGCATTCGGGGCCCGGGCCTAGAATGTGTCGGACACACAGAACACAGGTCGTCCCTATGTGGGCGCAGCTGCACTATCTATAATTACAAGACAAATACAGTCCCATCTCAGCACCTCCGAGTGTCAAACTTCTCCGCTCGCCTCCATTCCAACTGCACCGCCGGAGGTTTTCTTCAGCTATTGCAAGCAGTGCGCTGTGTCTTTGTAAAGGTGCCCATACACTTTACAACCCTCGCAAGACCTTAGTCTTGCGAGGGTTGTAAAGTACTACGTGCGACCGTACAGTAGAAACGGTCGCACGCCTTCCATACACTGCGCGATTATGGTACGATCGCTGGATTTCCCGCGATTCTCGTACGAGAATCGTCGTGCAGTGTATGGGCACCTTAAGCCATGCAAGAGATTCCGGTGTTGCTACAATCAGGTGCAGCAATCCTGAAAGCTTTTCTACACCCAAGAACAAAAATGTTATAGAATGTAATTACCAGCCCGCTGATGTGGTGGTGGTATTTATTATTACTTTTAGGCCTTTCTTTTTTATTTTTTTATATTTTATTTCTATTTATTTTTTATTAAATATTTTTGTTTTTTACTTTACTTTTATGTGCTTCGGGGAAATATTGGGGGTCTAAACAGACCCCTGATATTTCCCTTTTAAAATAAAAAAAAGCGTTTGAGGACATAGAGTCCTCAAACTCTTTTTCTGTATCCCCTGTTATCAATGAACAGGAATCCTCTATACTAAGTGTTCCTGCTCATTCATAACATGAGGACAGAGTATGGTTACTATATCCACAATCATGAATGAACAGGAGGTGATGTAGATCACTTCCCATTCATTCATAATTGGGGACACAGTAAACATACTCTGTCACTGATAGCTTGTACCTGCTCTTCATTCTGACAACTGTCACAGGAGGCCGAGCGGTGCGGCAGGAGAGCGATGTGAGTGGCCAGCGTCTCTCCTCCCCGCACCGCTCAGTCTCCTGTCACAGATCAGGAGAGCAGTGTGGGCAGAGACAGCCAGCGCTGTCGCAGGAAGCTGGGCAGGGCGAGAGGAGAGATGCCGGCCGCTCACCGCGCTCGGCCTCCTGTGACAGTTTCTCGTATGTGCCGCCCACCAGTGTGCATGGATGCAGATGTTTTAAAACGTCCACCCGCATTCAGGAGCCCAGCCTTTAGTTGCCAAGTCGGACGGGAAGTGGTTAAAAATGCATCCATGTATCTTAACTATTAACAACGATGTATCTTATTTGTGTATCACTCGGCTGTAGATCCTCCAATCATCTCTGAATTGGTGCTGACACTGTCCTTCCTTCTGGAGGGGGGCTACTTGTGTTCCCCATGGTCCCTGTGTGTGTTGTAGAGTAGTCACCGCTCCAAGACCACTCCCGGAATAGACTACAATCTCAGGTTTAGTTCTCTAATTTGTATGGAGATTGTAGTCCATCCCGGGAGTGAGCTTGGAGCGGTGACTACTTTATAACAGTTACAA